TGGTAAAGGTCATGGCAGCAGTCGGCCTTCGAATAGAACTGGTCATCCAGGAACGGGTCGTCGGTCACCAGATACAGCCGGTAGGTCCTGCGAGTCAAAGAACGCAGGCGCAGGAGCGCCAGAGTGCCTACACCCTGAGCCTATGCCTGAGAAATCCACGATCCCGATGCCCACTCATGCACGCAAACATATGCTGCTCTGAAACTTACACCTCAAATGCCAAGCTCAGGGTCAGACGCCGGCAATCGAAACTTGTCCGTCGAAAAGGGGCGCAAGTGCCTCCTAGCAACACACTCCGTCCAACGCTCTCAGCAGTTCTGGGTCTTCTGACACAATCGAAGGCTAAGAAGTACAGCCACTGGGCCGGAACCACACGGGTAGTTCTCTAAATTAGGGTCCCTTTGGGGGTCCTTTTGATAAGGGTGCCGTACTATATCGGGGACCCAGAAGGACTTCAATTTCGAGAACTACCCACACGTTGTCAGGTCTGCAGCCCAGAGAACCCTCACTTTTGCTGCCCCTGTTGCTGTTGTTCCCAGTGCTGAGCTTCAGAACCACATTGCAGGTGCGCTTCCTTTGAAGCAAAACAGCGCAGCAACTTGAAGCCTAGCCCTGCTACCTCGAGCTTTTCAGGACTGCAGTAGATAATATAGGGGCCTTAATAATTAGAATAGAGTTTTGGGGGTATATTATATTGTACTATACTTATATTGATAAGGAACCCCCACAAGAGTATGGGTAATTATTAAAGCCCCTACATTACACCTCATGATGATGACAGTGGTTTGGATGTGGTCTTATACGGTGATGACAACAATGATGAAGTCCGCTCCAGCAGCAGCGAAAGTTCTAGCAGTGACGGCGGTGACGGCTTTGGTGGCACTAGTCACAGATGGTTTAGCGCTGCTCCTGTTGATTCTAGCACTTCGGTCTTTCCTAGGTATGACAAATCTTGAGGAGCAACGAAGCAAGATGTACTATAGGGGCCTAAATTTACCAATACCATTTCAAGGGTTCCTTATTCTAATTATTCTAATTCCAGTATAGATGGCCCCCAAAACCCTACTCTAATTATGAAGGCCCCTATATTATAGAATCCTTTTGGTAACCCCTATAGTATCCCTTTTTCAGGGACCCTTTTAAAGGAGCTCTAATTATGAAGGCCCCTATATTAGGCAAACTTGACCTCGGCCTTTCTCTACAAAAAACTGCCGGTTCGCGATGTTATGCTTGGAAGCAGAAATCAAGCTCTCCCAAGAATCAAAGTCATATCAAGGCCTTCTTAAAGCCCTTTAAAGCCATATTGAGCCATATTAAGGCCATATTATGCCTTGATCTCGACCCCAAGATCTTCGGAGCATTCCCAAAACACGAGAGTCACAGATTATTATTTGTCTTACCACGATCATGATCGCGGCTACTGTGACTACTATGTCTATTTCTGCTACGGGCACCAGTGTTGATGCCATGTCTGTTCCCATAGTTCCGATTGTCCAATAACTGGGGGTGTTGCTCGCTTTGTACCCTACGCATCGCGAGTCACTAAGGTGGCTGCGCCTTGCGTGGAAGCCCACAGCACGCCACATGGCTGGAACCAGCTGGGTGCTAGGAGTCTGCTGAGATCTCGCGCTCTTCTGATTCGACTAGTCCAGACTGCCGTGACAGTGATGACGTTCAGCTGCTTTCTTCGTGGTCCTGGCCTTGAAACTGACCATGATCATTGCCGCGATGGTGGTGACGGTATCGACAAGGGTAACAATGGTGGCGATAACGGTGGTGATGGTGAGGATCGCGATGATAGATAACCGTAATGACCATGATCACCGCAACCATGATGATGCTGACATGGTAAAGATGAAGGTTCTGATGGTGACAATGTCAGTCGTGGTGGTCAGCGGCTCTGTACAAATTCTGTGACGTGTGCCGAACTTAAGAGAGAGCACTGCGGGTCCTGGATGCTTCACAACTGCCAATCCCCGAGATTCAGAATGGCCCTTCAGCAAAAAGATCGGAGTGCAAGTAGAGAACTACCCGTCTGCCAGCTCATGACGAAGGCTTGGCGTACCAGACCACTGATCTCTCAGCCCTGACAGTCACAAGGGCCGAGGACGAGGTTCCCTGAACTCCTAGACCCTGTCATGGGAATCCCACATCCTGCAACCAGACAGTCGAAGCCCTGGGCCCCAGCACCGATCAAGGGAAGCAGGATAAAAGATGCAGAATCAGGGGAGCACAACCTTCTCTTCGCATCAATCTGCGAAAGCCTCCACAGGAACACAAAGGAGCAGCAACATGCAGTGCGAACCCTAGGCCTTTGCTTTCCTATGGGCCATACTTTTGCTCCAGCTTCCGGGCACGATTCAAGATCGGGTGGTGACATGATGCTCATGGAGTTGCAGTTTCAGGCTTGCGGCTTGTGACTTGTGTGTCGTGGTTTCTTGTCTTTGGGTCAAGGGCCTCTTCGTTGTCACGACCTCACCTTACACTGATACACGTCCTTGATTGCGGGAGCATCGCTTTGACTTCCTGGGCAAATTCGCAAATTAACTCCAACATGATGTTCTGTATTGCAAGGTACTCAAGATTCTGGCGCAGTTGTACACTGTGGCTGTGTGATTGCTACCACTTGTGATCAATGTTCCCTTCTGGTAGATTCCTCAATACTCGACCGTACCCTCAAACCCTGCACTTTAAACTTTAGACCCTGAGACATAACCTAGGCGTTAAGCCTAAAAAGCGTAAGCCCCAAACCTTGAACCCTGACCCGAAGCGCGAAACCTGAACCCCACCCAAACCTTGAACCCTGAACGTGAAAACCCCCAAAACCTCTAACAAACCCGTGCATCCAGCTTGTCCTGCCGTAAAGCTCGCTGAGGGAACCTCGAAGGCGTTTGCAGATCAGCTCTTTCTTGCGTCTCTTTAGAGTTACAGCAAAAAAAAGCTCTCAGAAAGTCTTGGAGCAGAGTCCGGGAATACAGCCTTTCCAATTCAACAATGCCAGGGTGTATGCCAGAAATGCCTGACTCATGTGCAACGCCTGCCGATCAACTGCCTTCTGATGCCTTGAACCGAAACCTGTAGGTTTATGCCGTCAACTTTCACTCACCAGCTCGTAACCACACAACTTTCGTCCGAGAGTCGCTTCTTCTTCGTCTTTTCCGCCGTTGGCATCACGCCACAGCCTCGGAAGATCTTGCAGTCCGATTCTTGGTTATGTCAACTTCTGGACACTTCGCTATACCACAACTGTCGCTAATATGACCACCAGTTCACTGGTTCGGCGGGCTGCTTCTGCACGTGTGTTCGCGGCTTGGCATGATAACGACTATTCTTGTTGTTAGGATTGTACTCCCTGAGGTTTTGCAGGGCTCTCGAAGAATTGGCCTTAAACACTCCGTCCGTTTAGCTCCAAAACACCAGACCAAATCATATTGAATCTCGTTTAGTCAACTTCTTGTCATGGTTTGTTCTCGTTCGTGTTAGTTTCTCTCTCTTTGTCTCGATCTGTCTGCACGATGCCTTCATGTGTCTCCATTTGCCTCTGTGACACTAGTTCAGCTTTCTTGGCTGATCTTTATCCTCATGATCGCCTGCGACATCGCTCTTGGTCCACAACACCCATAGGCCTAGCCCTGCCGGGCCCCAGCCCCACCTCACTGCCGAAAACTCACAACGTAAAAGGCACGCGCGAACAAAAACATCCGAGGGCCGGCCCCGAGAAGCAGAGGCCTCTAAGCTTCGGGGGCAAAGCTTGTAAAGACTCGTGAAAAGATGTTCAAGTCACTTGTGAGTTGGCATTTCTGTTGCAGAAAGCTTTGCCTTCACCTGCCATAGTTGTCAACCGTTGTCTGAGCTTGTCTTTGTGTGTGTGCCCAAGTTCGTGTTCATCTGTCTGAACCTGTCGTAAGTACAACTTTCAGCCCTGCCGTCGTCGTGATCGTCGTCGTCATCGTAGTGCATGTTGCGCTGTGGATTGTGGCGAGTCGTATTCTGCTTCCAGTCCGGGCGCTTAAAATACTGAAGGACCTGATCCGGCTCTCACAATCTCACAACTTCCGTCCGAGAGTCACTTCTTCTTCGGCGGCGTCATCATCACGTCCGAGCCTCGGAAGATCTAAGACTTCAGGCGACGGGGGCAGCCGGGTTTAATGCAAAATACGCTTCCTTCTTATAGCCAAGTGCAGGATTCCTATATTATGAAGTCTGTGTCGATCATGAACTGCACTTACTATGATACCAGCCATAACCCTTATCTTCATCATCAATCAGGGCCCAGCTATGCGAACTTCTGACTGAGCCATGAGCGCCTTCGCACATAGATCCATGGTTCAGGCTGTTTAGTTGAGACCCAACGCCCAACCCAAAGTCGCTTCGAAAACTTCAGGGCTCAACACCCTAAAACCTAAAACCCGCTGCCTTAAGCTCCCTTCAACCCAAATCCAAACCCAGGCAAACCCAACCCTCACCCCCCCCCCCTCCCCCCCATGAAGCCGAAATCTTGAAGCCCCACCACAACCCAAACCTGGCTCTTATCCTGAAGCAGACGGAACCCGAAGAACCTAAAGCCTAAAAGCTGCAAGTCTAGGCCCAAACCCCAAACTTAAGATCTCATCGCGTCGACCTCCCAGAACACCTGCGCTCACTCCGGCATCCCTGGATGTACTCTGGCCTCTTCGATGTCCGGCACTAGCGAGTAGGGTTTGGGGGTTAGGGCGGTTGCGGCAGCAAACCATGGAATTAGCAATGAACACAAGAAGTGGTCAAAGACCGGAACAAACCTTCGTGCGAAGGAGAAGACACAAACGCATTTCGAGACTTCGGGACACCCCTGCGGCTCCTAAAACCTACAACTCTAGGGCCGTAAACCTGAAAGCCGACGTTCCTCAAACTTAAAACTTCAGACACACTAGACCCCAAATTCTAAACACTCTCATCCTCTGCTCTAATCACCTAGGCCCTAAACCTAAACACACCGAGGCGGAAGTCGTTGCAAGCGGAGCCTTTGTCCTCGCCCTGCCGAGGCATTTCGCCGGTTGCAGCCCAAAGGCTCGACTCGAGCCTAGGATTTGTTGTTTAAGGTTTAGGGTTTAG